GCACTTACCAGAATGCCTGGCACATAGTAAGTCCTTAATAAATGCTTGTGTGCTTCCTTCCTTCCTTCCTTGACTTCAATTCAGCACGAGATAGTTAAAAGACATCATCTCAGTGAGGGGCTATTCCACCTACCTTTTTTTCAACTACCCTTTAGCTGGTGTTATATAACTATATAACCTTTGTTATAACTATCAACCTGTCCTTATCAGGGGGATGCTTGTTGATCACTGTATCCTGTGGTCCTGTATGTGCCTGGCACATAGTAAGTGCTTAATAAATGCTTGTGTGCTTCCTTCCTTCCTTGTTATCTTGAAAAGATGATGCTCAGAAGTGGATAGCAGCACAAGACCAGTAGAGTAGACCTCAGCAGAGACAATGCTCCCAGATGAGAGCAGTATTGAAATAAGAACTTTACCATTAGCAACCATGAATTGTCAGAGGTGTGAGAGGCCCAGTCCATTCATGCCTCTTATGTATATAGTCCTTACATGTGTACCCTGGCCACATATTCTGTCTCAGAGGCCATGCATCTTTCCTGACCATGTATGTGCTTTTTTATGCAGGTTCCCCAACCACACATCTGTGTGTGTATGCCTTCCACCACTGGTAATGTGAGTGCACACTGTGGGAAAATATGGAAAACATTTTCTTGGCATTTTATTGCTATGATGTTTTATTAAATGTCTTTTGTGTGGATTAATATGTCCTCTGGTATATCCTCCAATAAGACCTCTTGAACTATTTGAGTTTTGAGTGTCTTGAACCTGGATACCCTTTTAGGGGGCAGAATATGTGAGAGGGAATGCCCCAGAAGTTACATGTAAAATTAGAAATTTGGACTAGATAACTTCAAAGGCTCTATCTTTAAATCTATGATTCTATGATCCTCTTTCTCAGGAGATGGTACTAGCTATTTCAGAGGAATATCCAGACCCAGAATGCCTGGAGGCTAGTTAAAATGTTTGGTCTTTCATTCTGCTCAACAAAAGGTCTTTAGCCAAGTTAGGGAGAATTTGGTCCCATTCATTTCTTCCTTTTCCCTGCAGCCAGGTAGCACATTGCCCACTGAATCAATATCTCCCACTGAGGCTTTTTGGATCTTGGAAAGGCATTAACTCATGCCCCCTTTTCATTTCTCATCCTCAGCCTCAGGGGCTGATACAAGGCTGTGCAAATCCCACCCTCACCCCAGGATTTCTTTCAGCATTAGGAAATATGGAAGGGAGAGGTGGAGAACCAGTTACTCCCTGTGCAATCACCTATATAATACACAAGTGAAAGGAGGTGATCCTAATGTTACAGGTATGGTTCTAAAACCACCACTCTCTGCATTCAAGTTCAGTGTTGGGATATGACAAAGCACTCGCCAGGCAATGAAAGTTTAACAAAGGAGGAGATTTACTTTGCCCACACAGCAAGGATATGCAACAAGGATTCAGCAGCCCCCCTCATCTCCATCTGGAAATTTGTCTGGTCAGTTATCAGAGTAGTTTCTGGTTGGCCAGTCATCAGGATATAGCAAGTCGGACTTGAGTCGATTCAGGAACTTGCCAATTTGGAAAGGCCTGGAACCCTCACAGCTTGGGTTTTTACTGGCCCTAGGCCAGGAAGCTGTGTCAAAGAATTTGGGAGCAATAAGGTTTCATAAGGCCAGCAAGCTTTTTCAGGGAAGCTGGGGCTAAAGGAAGTCGTGTGGGTAGGGGTTGTGTGGAGCGAGAAAGCTGAGTCAGGGTTAGGAGAGCTGTATCAGGAAACTACTGTCCTACGACACCTAGCATGTTATTGAAGATTCCTGTCACACCATACTTACAAAGAACAATCCTGCACCAAAACAAGTTCTCAGGTAACTGTCCATGTAAAAATTATTTTCTATAATCAATCTACAAGGATTTATTAAGCACAAGATAGCACACTAGATGATAGATATAGGAACAAAAATGAAACAGACAATCTCTGCCCTCAAAGAGACTACATGCTACTATGGAGAAGTGAGCAACATATATAAACGTAAGCAGAGCAAGATGTGATGGGGGAAAGGGAAGGAGAAGGGAGGGAAAAGGAAGAAGCATTTATTGTGCTAAACACTTTTACAAACATCATTTTCATTTGATGAGGGCAGAGGAGAGGTCACAGAAAATGTTCTAGGGAAATTTGAGGAAATACCTTCAAGAAAGGTAAGGAATCTGAAAGATGGGAATAAACATTTATTAAGAGCCTACTATGCACCAAGCACCTGTGCTGAGCTCTGGAGATATGAAGACAGGCAAAGGACAGTCTTTTACTTCAATAAACTCACAATCCAATGAGGGAGATAACAAGCTGTATATAATGTGAAAATATGTTTAATAGGAATGTATGTGTATAGCCCATATCAGATTGTGAACCATCTTGGGGAGGGAGGTGGGAAGGGAAGGGGAGAAAAATTGGAAACTCAAAAACTTATGGAAGTGATTGTTGATAAATTAAAATAAATTAATTTAAAAAAGAAAAAAACAAGCTATACACAGGATAAATAAGAAATACCCAATTTAAAGAAGGATCTAGAATTAAAAGGGACTGGGAAAGGCTTCCTACAGAAGGTAGAATTTTAACTGGGACTTGAATAAAGCATTTATAAAGGGCTTATTATGTGCCAGGCACTGTGCTAAGCTGTATACAGAGAGAGACACTAAGTCAAATTTTGAAACAGCTAGTGGTACAGGTTGGTTGAAACATAGAATCTGTGGGAGGAATAATATAAAGAAAGAGTTGGAAGGGAAGCTAGAAGCAGTGTGTTGAGGAAAGAGAGCTAAGTTCTTAACAGTCTTTAAGAGGTGATCACCTCTCTTCTAACACCCAAATTCCCAAAGCAATCATCCAAATGTACTCAACATACAAAAAGAAACATTTTTCAGGAAGAGAAATGGGGTGGCAGTGATAGTGTGCCTGGTCTCTCATTTCCTTATTTAGTTCAGAGCACCTCTTCACTTGCTAATTCATTACTGGAAGGTTCTCTTTTATTTCTAGTTCCAGAAAACTGGGAATAAATTTTCATCAATGAGTTGTCATAAACAAATTCTACCGTAACAAAAAAAATGGGGTTCCTCCTGGAATTCCTTATAATGGGATTTCAATGATAATGTCTTGCCAAAAAAAATTGTAAAAAAAAAAAAGGAAAAAGAAAAGAAAAGAAAACCACCACACTCAAAAATTCCCCCCAACACTAATACACAGTACTCCCCTAACTCAGCCACTAACTTCCATGCATGCAGCATTATTGACATAGTTTCCCCAAGACAGGACTCAAGATTATGAGAATTCCTTATAACAAAAGAAAGCAGTTTCTTCTTAATTGGGTTTCCTAACCCTCCTCCCACACCTAACCAACATCTTTTTCATAACTACTCCACTAGCCCTGGAAACTATCTCTTCTATTATATAAGGTAGATTAGCACCTAGAAAATTTAAGTGTTTGGGAATATGATTTAGTGGGAAAACAAAGTACCTGGTCTTCTCCATTCTAACTACTTAAAGGTACCCTCCCTAAAAACTTAACCTCTTTCAGTGGATGTTCCAATAATATATGGATCACAAGAATACCATGTAGGTAACCCAGAAATCAGAGCAGTCCCACTACCCTTGAATTTTCCTGTTCAGGACTGGTTGACCTCAAAGGTCCCATTAAGCTCTAAATCTATGATCCTAAGATCTGGTTACTATTTCCAAAATAAGATTATGATTTTAAAATTACTATCCATATAGTTCCTTTCTCCCCATGATCAAACTTCAATAATCTTCACATAAATTGCATTATAATTGCTGTAAAGGTACTTTTTCTGGTTCTGATGAATTGTGCAATTAGCTCAGAAAATTTTTAAGCAATTTTCTAATTCCACTAAAACTTAATGGAGCCCTTCCAGCCCTAGGCGAATGGTTGGTGCAAAATTTAATTTGAGCTAATCTGTATAAGACTGGGGAAGCATAAAATATACAGCATGGGGGGTATTTACCCCTTGTGGGCACCCTTCTTTTCTACCATGCCTTTCCATCAAGATGAGACTAGGGGTAGGTATTGATTTTGCAATAAGTGGGGATGTGATACTAGAATTAAGTGTTCTGTCTTCAACATCACACACACACACACACACACACACACACACACACACACACCCCTTCAATGAATTATGGTGGTAAAAGAATATTGGCCAAGTAGTCAAGAGACGTAGGTTCTAGTCTTAGTTCTGCCAATGACTTGTTCTGTGACCTTAGGCGAACCTCTCAGATCCTCAGTTTCTTCACCAGTCAAGTAGGAACTTCCCACTCTAAAATCCCACATTCCTAGAGTATGACTACATCCTTGAAGTCGCTGACAGACACCTGCCCCACCGGCAGGTGTCAGTATCTCGGATGCAGGCGGACGGTTGCAAATATTTTCTCCTCCACCTTCCCACCAAATTAGGCAAATTAGGCTTGAACCTTTGTCAGCGTGGATCCGCCTTCTCCCAGGCTGGCGGCGGTCCCCAGGTGTGGGTCTTTGTGTCAGGAAAACTTTGAGAGAGCGAGAGCGAGGGAGCTGGACAAAGAGGGGGAAGCGACGGCGCTTCTCGGGGTCGGGGTTTGCCCGTGGCCCCCCTCCCTGTCTGGGTCAGGAAGGGCGGGAGAAGAGCTCGACGTCCCAGGGAGAGGAGCGACGGGGATGTGCCTGGCAAATTCCTAAGAGGCGATACCACCGAGGGGAGGGGAGGGGAGGAAAGGGGAGGGGGAGACAGAAGAGAACGGGCATCGACTGGAGCGAAGCTGTCAAACTGAGCGCGGAGAGGAGCCCGCGGCTGGGAGGGACGACGGGGCTGGGCTGGGCTGCACTGGGGGGACAATCGCAGAGCCTGTGCAACTCCCCGCCCGCTGCTGCTGCCGCCGCGGCGGCGGCCGCTTGTGCCCAAGCGGGGCTCCCCGGGGCTGGGGGGCGGCAGGCAGGTGGGAGAGGCGCTTTTTCTCGCTCTGCTCCTCGCCGGCTCCGTCGCCCGCTGGCCGGTCCGGTGGGAGGCAGGCGCCCGAGCCATGCAGCTGCAGTTCAAGAGCTGGATGTTGGCTCTGCTCACCCTGCTTGTCGTCTTTCTCATCTTCGCAGATATTTCGGAGGTCGAAGAAGAAATCGGGTAAATAAACCCTGCCCTCCCCCTCCCCCACCCCCGGGACCCCCAACCCTCTAACCTCCTCCACGCTCCCGCTTCCCTCTCCACTCCCCCTTTGCTCCTTCCCCGGGCTTTGTATGCGCCTCGTCCTTCCCCCTTGCTGTGGCTGCTCCTCCCCGAAGCTGGGGAGAGCGACTGGGGGGCGGGCTGGCGGGGGCCGGGACCAGGTCGGGGCTATGGCTAGAAGAAGGGGGGGGGGCCGGGGGGTTGGGGGGGGGGGGGGGGGGGAATGAGTCGCGGGGCAAGAGGGTCGGGACGGTTTGGGGGGCAGTGAGAGTTGGAAAGGGTAAGGAGACGCCACTGAATTGGGGCGTCGTTAACTAGGTATTGGCTAGTGTGCCAGCGGGCGACAGAGTGAGGGGGGAGATCGAAGGCACGGGAGTGTCTTTTATAGCGGATTTCCCAATCATCCCTACCCCTTTATCAATCGAGGTCCTAAGGAAGGGGGCTGGTGAGACAGCGGGGAGGGCGAGACGGCCAGACGGACGGGCTGCGGGAGGAGGGGAGTGTCTGGGGGCGGAGGGGGTACTGGAGAGGAAGGCAGGAGAGTTTCTTTGTCTTGGGCTCCACGGGTTTCTCGCCTTTACAAAGTGGGAAGGGAGCGCGCCTGCATCTCAGTGGAGAGGAAAGGCAGCCTCGGGGCTGGTGCCCAGCCCGGCTGAGTGGAGAGGGGTGGGCCGAGCCGAGTACCAGGGGCCCCGGCGCGGGGCCGTCCCGGGAGGGGCAGCTGCGCTCCTGCTCTTCCCCATGCGCCCCGCGCCGCGCCGCCCTCCCACCCACTGCTCCGGGCTGAGAAGCGGACGCTCCGCTCCGGAGGGGCTCTCCGGCACTGGGCGTCCCTCTCCATCCTCCGCCAGTCAACCTGGGGGGGACTTCGGTCTCCCTTTGTCCCTTCTTCTCCTGCTCCGGGTGCTGAAGGCGGGCGGGGGGAGAAGAGGGACGGCGGGAATGAGTCAATTTCTAGGAATACTTTATTCCTGCTGTCCTCGCTCCTGAGCTTCCAGGAATAGCTTTAGCGTTCGTTACTATTTATTGCTTTCATTCTTCCGATTGTTACTAGGAGGTGTGCAGGTTCATTTATCTGGCTACACATGCCCCCGCCCTGCGGCGAGTGGTATCTCCCCCCAACCTCAGATCTGGGTGGCTCTGGTCCCTTACTTTCAGGGGCGGAGGCGGGAGGGGCAGGAGCTGGGGTCGGGGAGGTTCCAGGGCTAGACAAAACTCGTGGGACCCGCTCGACCTGGGATCAGTCTGGTCCCGGTACAATAACCCAGCAGTGACTTCCCATCTTCACTGTTTCCACCCCGCCCCAAACCCTGACTATCCAGGTGAAATTAAAGGCAACAAAGAGGAGCTTGTGGGGGAAGAAGACTGAATTGGCTCTGGATGGGGGTCGGGGGAGCGCATACCAAGGGAAATATCCAGCAATTAGGGACAGTGAAGGGGAGGAGGGAGAGAATTTCTTGGAATTGAAAAAGGAATATCAGGTGACCCTGGAAGAGGTCAAAGGACCAGAGAGGGGGAGACAAGGAAATAGGATGGAATGCCAGTGCCTAGACTCAGGGCAGAAGATAACCACGGGGGGATCAGCTGGTACCACCCTCCTAGGACCTCAACCTGATACTGTCACTACATTGATACCAGGTTTCTGCAATGGCCAATGCTTTAAGCATTTCTAACCCAAGTCCTCATTCCCAGGTCAAGGTACTGGGAACTAAAGAAACCAAGTCATCAGATATTTTACTTCCTAACAGTATTTTTCCTTTCTCTTTCTTTTCACCAACTATCATTTCTGCCCTCTCTCTTCCTCTTGTTCTTTTCTCTGGCTTTCTCCTTTCCATACTCTCTACCTCCGGAATTTCTTTTCCACCTTCTGCCTCTGTCTCGGGAGTAAATGTTCATTTTCTCCAAGCCTCTCAGAAAACTTTGTAAAAGGAAAAACATACGGTATTCTATCTTTACACACCTCTACCAAGTTTCTGAGCCCACATGTTTTGGTTCAGAAACATTGGTAGGAGCCACAACTTCTTTATAAAGTTCTAGTCTGTCCAGTGACCCCAAAAAAAAAAAAAAAAAGCTGTTGTCAAAGGAGAGTTCCTCTATCTAATACAACTCTTTCATTAGGAAAGAGGAAACAAATCCAGATGTAAAGAGATTTGCCCAAGGTAGCAAGTATTAGATTCAAGATTTGAAACTGGATCCCTTCCTACAAAACCTAGGGCTTTTTCTACTGTATAATACACTGCTTTTGCTTTTGGATCCTAATTGGGTTTTCACAGATGTCAGTTCTGGCAGAGTGGAGATGTCAATTGCAGTTAAACTTTGCAGTTTAAGGCCCTAATCTATTTGTTATTATTTCTTTTTTATTATTATTATTACCCACAATACTGGCCAACATGGTGGACAATAAAAAAAAACTTCCATTTATTTCAGCTTTTAAAGTTACAGATCACTTTATGTACATTGTCATTTGCTTCTCACAATAACCCCATGCAGGTCAGTAATCATTTATTGAATGCCTGTTACATACCCAGCATAAGAAATAAGGAAGATATCATTGGCCCATTTGTTACAAAGGAGGAAACTGACATACAGAGAAGTTAAATGACCTAAGGTCACATAGCTAATATATAGTGGATCTCAAACCCAGTCCAGTGGCTTTTATACCTCTCAAACTAATAAGCTAGGAAAAAAGCAGAAAGGTCAAAGGTAGTCCCTGTCCACAAATACATTACAATCTCCTTGGCAATGTTTATCTCAGAATTGAAAGAGATCTCTGAGGTCATGGAATTCAACCTAAACTTAAGTGAGATTTCTGTCTACAACATAACTACCAAGTGGTCATCCAACCTTTGTCTGACAGCCTCTACTGAAGGCAAACCCAATACCTCCTGATGCAGCCTATTCCACTTTTGGACGCCTCTTTGTTTTAGGAAATTTTCCCCGAGAGCCATTCTAAATTTGTCCTCTTTGCAACTTCGACCCTTTATTCCTCACTGCCTTCTGTGGCCTATCAGAAGGATGCTAGTTTTTCCTCCAACAGCTGCCCTTCAAATACCTGAAGACATTTGGTCTACTCCAGCCTAAGCATCCCATTACCTCTCAACCCACCACCCTAGTACAGGCCTTCATCACCTCTGCCTGGAGTATTGTAATAACTTTCTAACTGGTCTCTGTTCCCAAGTCTTCTCCGCATCCCAACTTGTCTAAGCTGCCAAAGTGATTTTCTAGGATACAGGTGTTACTGTGTGTGTCATCCCCCTGCTCAGCAGAGGCTCTCAATTGTCTCCATGATCAAACAGAAAATCCTTTTGGATATTTAAAGCCCTTCACAACCCCGTCCCTGCCTACCTTCCCTCCATATACTCTACCACATGGCTACAATGATTCCTGACACTGTGTCTTTTGCACTGGCTGTCCTCCAGGGCTGGGATTCTTTCCTTCCTCACTTCTACCTCCTAATTTCCATGACTCTCTTTAGATTCTCGCTCTTACCCTCTGCAGAGAGTCTGGCTCCTCTTTCCTTCTCCCTACAAGTGTCTTCCCCATTCGATTAGACCGAATATAGCTTGTTTGTATGGTATTATTTGAATGTTGTCCACCACAGTAAAGCTCTTTGAGAGCAGGAACCGGTTTTTTGAGGACAGAGCCTTCCTGCCACATAGAAAGCAATTAATAAATACTTGGTGACTGACTGAACCAATCCTTATGTGATATTGACTCCATGTGCTTCTAACCATTTTTTGTTTACTCTTTGTTCTCCCACTAATTGATGTCTTTCCTAAAATGTGGGACCCAAACTGAATCTGATACCCCAAATGTGGTCTATTACTTCTCTAGTGATGAACACTATACTTCATATTTCCATGATCATATTCAATGTTTTGGGATTGCCATGTCACAGTGTTGACTTAAAGGAATTTTATGGTCCACTAAAACCCCAAGATCATCTTTTTTTTTTCAGATGAACTGCTATCTAGGTATACCTCCCCCACCTTGTATTTGTAAAGTTGATATATTAAACTTGAGTGTAAGATCATTTCTAGCCTGTTAAACTCATCTTTTTAGATTCATCCCAATGATCTTTCCTGTCAGAATTGTAGTACCATAGATTTAGAGCTGGCAGAAATCTTAGAAATCCAATCCTCTTTTTTAACAGATGAGAAAACTGTGGCCCAGAGAACTGAAGATGTTTTGCCTAAGGTAACACAGGTGGTACATAGCAGAACTGGGGATCTAAACACAGGTCCTCTGACTTCAAATATAGCATACTGATTCCTACAAAGATTTTTGGATCTACCGTCCAATATGTTAGCTATCTTCTCTCTCAGATTTATGTCACTTACAAATTTGATAAGATGCCACCTGTGCCATTATCCAAGGCACTGATAAAAATGTTAAACAGCACAGGACCAGTGACAGATACCTAGGGCACTCCGCTAGAGACCTTCTTCCAAGTTTAGCCGGAATCATTATGACTACACTAGGTGGCAATGAACCTTTGATTAGCCTTCTGTATAAGCTGAAATAAAAACAAACTTAATGCTCTTTTTTAAAAACACTATTTTTTCTTCAAGTGTTCTATTTTCAGGAGCAAATGACAAATAATAACTGACATTTACATAACATTTTAAGGCTTACAAAGCACTTCCCATAAATTATCTTATTTGATTATCACAGCAACCCAGTAAAGTAGTCTTCAGGGTCAGAAACAGAGACATTTGCCCATGGTCAAGTGAAAGAAATGAGACTGAAACTCTTTTCATTACTCTGTGACACTTCAATGAGGCCACTCTGTCCTAAGATTCTCTGAAAAGCACCAAAATGAAACTCTAAAAGTAAACAATAGAATTATTAACTTTTAAAATCCAGGGTTGTGTGAGGTTTGAAGTTTTTTTTTATTATTTAAAATAGTTTATATGATCACCTGAGTGATAGTCTCAAGTTTTATTATTTTAAACTCA